GGGTGTGAACTGTGTTGCAGTTTAACAACCTGTAATTGTTAGAACTGCAAGTAATGGTGTGGCACAGCCAGGGGCAGATGATGCCCTCCTACCACGTGTAAATTAACTACAGCGGAATGTGATTTAGTTGTTCTACAGTTTACAGTCAGCTAATTCAATAAGCTTGCAAATCGCAGCTCACCACATTGCACAATAAAAAAAAAAATACATTTTCTGTACTCCATTGTTCCCACTTAGGCAGCTTCTGCAAAGCAATCTGTGGTGGATCACTTTCCAGAAGATTGCCCAGCAGCCTCTGTCAGGCAGTCAGGAGGCGATCCTTCCACCTCCTGAATACCTTTTTATTTTTTTGCTTTTTTTTCTTGAATAGTGATTTTTAATGGGACTACTGCACTGCAAGCTGCTTGCTGTGGGGGCACCCGACAGAAGGGACGTCGGTGTGGGACCCAAGAAGAGGAGGATCCAGGCAGCTCTGTGCAAAACCACAGTACACAGCAGGAAAGTATAGACATGTTTGTTATTTAAAAAAAAAAAAACCTTTAGAATCACTTTACTTAGTTTCATCCAGTGCAATTTATTGCAGCATTTATATAGAGCTGTCAATATACACAACTCTTTACATATACTGTATATTGTACAAAGAGCAGGGCCCTCATATCTGTCAGTTCTGTCTCCCTTTTGCCCGCTGAGCATATTGGAGTATAATAATAATAATAATAATAATATTGTACACTCATACAGTTCCTGCCCTCATGGAGCTACAATCTAAGGTCCCTAACTCACATATATACACATACTAGGACCAATTTAGACAGGAGCCAATTAACCTACTAGCTTGTCTTTGGAGTGTGGGAGGAAACTAGAGTACCAAGAGGAAACAACACAGGCACAGGGAGAACATGCAAACTCCATGCAGGTAGTGCCATGGCTAAAATTCAAATTGACGCTAGAGCTGCTAGGTGGAAGTGCTAACCACTTAGCCACTGTTCTACCTTAAATCAACCACAAAACCTGCATAACACATATTTGTAATTAAAAATAGGTTTTAAATTAGATCCCTTTTGCTTGCATATAGTGTACTGTACCATCAAGACCTAACAATGATATTTGGATGTCTTCATATGGGCTGAAAATCTAAGTGATGACGTACAGTGGTTGTTGAGGAAGGTGCTGCCTGTGATACATATTTGGTTCTTTGAATGTCAATAAGTTCACCTACCAGTCTGTCTCAGCATAGTTGATTGCAGAGTAAGGCTCCATGCACACTGGCTTAAAATCGCTGCTTCTACAGGAGTTTTGTGTTTTGCTTGTAGTAGCAGCTCAGTATTGTCCTATGTGTCTATGCACATTAGGATGATTAGAGGCATATTTCAACTGCTTCCCCGCCACCCTATAGTAGATGTACTGCTACAGGGCGGCAGGGCTGCGCAAAATGACGTGTATATATACATGCACAGCAGAGAAATACACAGCAGCAGGTTTCCCTAGTAAAACACATACAGCACACAATGTAAAACAGCACACAGTTAACCTTTTGATCACCCAGATGTTATCCCCTTCCTGCCCAGTGTCATTAGTACAGTATCAGTGCTTTTTATTAGCACTGATCACTGTATTAGTGTCATTGGGATGTCAGTGGCAGCTAGTCAGTTCCCACCCAGTGTCAGAATGCCGTAGTCAGAACGCAGTCCCTCAGTCCCGCTATAAGTCGCTGATCGCCGCCATTATTAGTATAAAAAAAAAAATTTAATTCCAGTATATATACCGCCATTTGTAGACACTATAACTTTCACGTAAACCAATTAATTTACATGGCATTTTTTTTAGCAAAGACATGTAGCAGAATACATTTTTATTGTTTGTTTTTTTTCAAAATTGTTGGTCTTTTTTGTTTAAAGCGCAAAAAATAAAAACTGCACAGTGGTTACCACCAAAAGAAAATTTGTGGGGAAAAAATGACATAAATTTTTTTATATGCAGTATTGCATGACCACGCAATTGCCAGTTAAAATAACGCAGCACTGTATCGCAAAAAATATGGCCTGGTCAGGAAGGGGGGTAAATCCCCTGGAGGGCAAGTGGTTAAGCTGAAATTTTAGACGCAGGAAAAAACCATTCTGGTTTGCATTTTTGATTGGAGATTTCTAGCAGAAAAAAAACTAAACACTCTTGAACTCTTCTAAACTGTGTACAAAAACATACATTCTATAACAGTGCTTTTTTCTACCAAGGGAACTGGCGTTTTTTTAATCCCAGTCTGCATGGAGCCTTAGACTGAAACTGAAAACAATCATACGGTTATCATAGATTTCCTATGAAAATTAATGAGCTGAGTCTTGTTAATCATTGAGTATTTCTTCATTGTAAGTAGAAACAGTTTGACTTTTTCATATTATTTCTTGCATTATTGCATTCAGGTGCATACATTAACACAATTTATGTAATTTTGGGTTTCTGTCCCCTAACTTTCTCACTGGGGCTTTATAAAACTCAATTACAACATTTAAAAAAAAAATCGAAAAGGGTTGGAATTCCTGTTGTATGGCTTTATGTTTTTTATGGCTGTGACTATAGCTTCTTATGTAACTGTGGCAGTCAGCCCTCACGTTTAATGTATTTTTCTACCAGGACAAGAAATGAGGCGAACAGGAGACGAGAAGGCACAGATTGTTCTGTTGCTGTCTCTTCTTACATTGCAGAGATTTTACATCACTTCCGGTACCTCAAAATCCATATTATTATGATCCTGGATATAGGAAGTGAGGAAAATCTCACCAATGGGAAGTTAGACACCATTTAAAAGGAGCTTGTACTGTAGAAGCTGCACTCCAAAAAAAGGCAACAGAGGGCAAAGGGCTAATTACAATTAACCCCAGTAGGCTATCTGTTACATTTTTTTTAATATACCATTTTAATGGTTTCTAGGGCTTTATCTACAGTACATGCTGATCGCCTTATAGCAGATGTACTGCTACAGGGCAACTGCCCTGTGCAAAATCACACACACATATATATATATATGTGCATTTCCAGGTACGACGACGCACACTGTCATTGGCTCCTGGAAATGTCAATCATCAGGTCCCGGCCAGTGACTCATGGCCGGACTTGGTGATCAGCAGAGCAGCTGACAGGGAAGAGATGTGTGTGTAAACAACACAGATCTCTCCCCTGTCAGTGGGGAATGTGCTGCTTTCTATCTCTCTGCAAAGCAGAGTGATAGAAAGAAGCACGTCCCCTAGTAAAACACTACACAGTAATCACAAAGCAGTACTCAATTAACCCTTTGATCGTCCCAGATTTTAACCCCTTCCTGCCCAGTGTCATTAGTACAGTGTCAGTGCTTTTTATTAGCACTGATCACGGTATTAGTGTCACTGGAGATGTCAGTAGCAGTTAGTCAGTTCCCACCCAGTGTCAGTTATTGTCAGAAAGCCTGCAGTCTTGCACTAAGTAAACCAATTAATATACACTTCTTTTTTTTACCAAAGACATAAAGCAGAATACATTATGACCTAAATTTATGAAGAAATATGTTTTATAGCAAAAAGTCAAAAATATTGTTTGTTTTTTTTTTTTTTTTTGCAAAATTGTCAGTCTTTCTTTGTTTATAGCGCAAGAAATAGAAACCACAGAGATGATCAAATACCACCAAAAGAAATCTCTATTAGTGGGGGAAAAATGACGCAACTGTCAGTTAAAGTAACACAGCGCCGTATCACAAAAAATGGTCTGGTCAGGAAGGGGGGTAAATCTTTCAGAGGGTAAGTGGTTGTAAAGACTTTTTTCTACTCAAATGATTTCCTGACCAGTATTTCCTTTGCGCAACATGGAAGAAAGGGAATGGTTCTAAGCCCTATATACCAATTACGGTAATTAAGTAGGCCTAACTACTGCTGAATTAACTTTTGGGCATTCCCCTAAGGACATGTGTCTGCACGAAATGCATCAGGTGGAGCCTTTGTACTGACATCACGCCGCCGTCCCAAGTTTCGGTGGGCGTCTTGGTATGTTTGGCCGCAATTGCTTGTTTTGATTCTCCACGTGGAAGACGTTTAACGCTTATTTTTAAAGAATTTTATATTCAATAAATACTACACTATATATGATCTTTTGGGATCCGTGTGGAGAGCACTTCCCTTCAGGCTCCTGGTTGTATCATCAGTGTCTTGGAGGAGTAAGAGAGGAAGGTCCCTGGGTTGTTGTATTACAGGCTATTGACCAGCTGCACTTGTTAAATTAACTTTCGAAAGAGCAGGGCCCTCGAACCCTTCGTGTATCACATTGTATTGTTATTGTACTGTTGCATGTACTTTCTCCCATTGTAATGTACAGCACTGAGCGAACTGTTGGTGCTTTATAAATACTGTATAATAATAATAATAACTTATTTTACATTAAAAAGCAGCAGCACTGAGAATATGACAACTTTTAGCAAGGATTCAATACAATCATAGGTGTGCATTTCAGCTATGATGAAAAGTTAATCAAATATTAATATGTAATACTCAAAATGGTTAACTTATTACCAGTTTCATGTATTAAATATACAGTATATTGGTCCAAATTGTACATGAGGAGGGTTTACCTAGATCCTGCACTTGGCAAGTCTGTTGTGCTAGTAGAATTGTGAGCTATACCTACTACTTTTTAACCAGCCAGGGTAGTATGGTTTTGTGAAGACTGCGGGTTTCACGCAGTGTCAGAACCTTTCAATTACATTGAGGAAATCCAAATATATTATATATTTTCTTTTATTAGCATCTGCCTCCCTATTTCTATTGGGTTGTTGAGTCATCACTGTGTTCATCTCCCTGCTACACCATGCATAATCAGCATAGGGAAAATCCCATGTAAAAGTGCTCTAAGCACATACACCAGCCTCAAAATGTGGATCGTTCACACTCAACATCATATGGAAAACATCGTGCTGTATAAGATTGCACTGATACAATATTTGAAAGGAGAGTTTGTTTTTTTCCTTGACTTGCATTTTCTAGATATTGACCAGTGGAACAAAGTTATAGAACAACTGGGAACACCGTGTCCAGAGTTCATGAAAAAACTTCAACCAACAGTTCGGAATTATGTGGAAAATCGCCCCAAATATGCTGGTCTCACATTCCCCAAACTTTTCCCAGATTCTCTATTTCCAGCAGATTCAGAGCATAATAAACTCAAAGGTAAGTTGTATAACTTTTTTATTAGAAGATTATTTTTTTTTTCAATTGCAGTAGTCATTTTTTTTACATATTGCCCACTCTGGAAACTCTATTTTACCTTGTCTAAATTTCTTTTTATTTACTGAGCACTACATGCAAACAGAAAAATTCTGCATCAATGATTTTTATAATATTAATTTTAGGCTAAGCTCCATGGGCAGTCTGTTAAAAATAATAAGAAATAACTCTCCACTGACTAACAAAAATCTACCATTTAGGGACTGCAATATGAGACAATAGGGAGAATTTGATTGCTGAAATGAGCAAATAGTGGCTAATTCTTATACAGGCCATACACGACTCAAAAAATGAAAGTTTTGTCGACCAAAAAAGGAAATAGCTCATATGATTGTGCCATCAATTGTTTTGTTTTCCTAAAAAAAAAACAGCATGTTGGATCAGGCACTTTCGATTGCCACACAAAAATCGTGTGTTGCAGCTGGTACACCAATGATGCAAAAAACAAACCTTTTGACAATCGACATGGATTTAATTCATTTTTCAACTCATCTATGGCCTGCTTGAGTCATGTAAGCTCCTGATACACTACACATATAGCTAGGTTTTATCTCACAAAGGGCAGTGTTCTGCAGCAACAGCAATGAAACGTTTTTGAACAGTTATTTTTTTGGCGTTTTTTTTACATGGTCATCAGTACAAATGAATCTCCCACTAGTTCCAACAGTTCTTGTTTGCACTGAGTAAGTAGCTTGTCTATACAAATGCAGTCATTCAGTGCTAGTATAGCTTCATCATCATAAGGACATTTATTGGGCCAAGTTTGAGCTGCTGCAAAGTGATATTTGCAAGTTTTGAGTAGTGTATTGGTTCAGAAATGAGTGAGAATTGTTCACAGAGACTGGAGAAGTTAGTGGTAAAAACAGCAGCACTGAAAAATGTATGTGATAGTCTTGGGAAAACTGAATAAATATGTATCGCTACCCCCTTGAGAGTCACTGGTTTTGGGTCTCCCTATTTTCCTGCATGGCCAGGCAACGCTCATTTTCCAACGTTCACTCAGAGTCAATAACCAGTCCATGGGCTTGTTTTTTGTTGTTTTATTTGAGGATAAACAACTTGGATAGGGGTAAATGGGATGCCTAGCTTGGCTTGAAACTGTTAACTCTTGGTCCCCTCTAAGTGAACCTCTTCAGACCCCAGCTAGAAACTACCAATCCACCTGTCTCTTGAAGAGTATCCCGGAGTAAGAGATTCTAGTACAGGCTTGCTGCACTATTACAGGGAGAACTGGTTGGGTATAGCACCTAGCAGCCCTCCCCCTGATGGCCCCAGGGGTATAGGGGTACACTGTCCTTGTATTCTGTAGCTTTGGAAAAACTGCTTTCAGGCTTTTACTGGGCTGGTTTTCTTCCAGGCTTACAGGCTGTCCTTCCTTAGTGGACTGTAAGGCAGTGGAGCTCCCTCCATCAACTTCCTTCCTTCCTTCCTTCCTTCCTTCCTTCCTTCCTTCCTTCCTTCCTTCCATCCTTCCTCCAGCCTCCAGCCCAGAGGCAGAACCCCCCTTCTCCTAGGCTACACAGCAGCACACCTTAGCGCTCCATCTTCCGCCCTGCTGGCCTGGCTCTCTCATAGTTATGGGCCAGTCTGCCACACTACCAGGCCTCCTGCCTGGTATTGGTCAAACTCCCATGAATATGCACATCACCTGCTCCTAGCCTACACCCACTGGCTTCTAGAAACTTCTCCAAGCTTCTAGAACCAGGGGGTGGTACATGAGGACTGACCTGTACAGCCCCCAGCCTGTCCTGAAGTAAACCCTCTGACTCACACCCAGGCTTTTAACAAACCTCTAACTACACTCACAAACTATGTACACAAGAGGGCGCTACAAATATAGAAGGAAACTTAATTTGTTGTGTGGCCACCACATTCATTTGCACATATTTGTAACTGAAACCTCTGTTTGTATTTGAATGTAGTTTATGTAGACAAAGTGTAAAATGTAAAATACAAGAATGTGGTTTATATTAGGGGTTCTAGAAGGGATGAATGCTGGTAACAATTTTGTATTATAAATGCAATTCCTACGTTTTTTATGCAACATGGAAAAACTATGTATATCAGGGTTAGTTTAGCTTTATATGAAATTAGGTTTAGACCGGAGTTAATGCTGAAGACACGTTTGATATTACCACTGCTCGATCCTGTCTATAGTGCAGACACGCATGCACACATTAGTAAGATACAACTGTACATATCTGTGTGCTTTGTGACCATTGTATGATTTGGTTTTCTGATATCCAATTCTCTTGGTAAGTGTATGGCTATCCTAAATGTTAAATTCAAAAGTGATTCATAAGTATTTAAACTAACAGCAGTGCCAAATACAAACACTTCCTGGTGCCTGAGAGTATGCATTTTATTATCTGGGGACCCTGCATCCAACCTCTATATTATACACCAGGACTCAACTTTTAAGCTGACTCTACCTACACTGACTTAATATGCTACTCCCACTCTCCCTCCCATTCAGAGCCTTCACTTGTCATGAAGGCATCCATGTTGGAATTATGTAAAGGCTTTGGGGCCAGACTTCCCAGGACAAACAGAATAGGTTTACTGGTTAGGCATAAGCTGAGGTCCTACTAATAGTAAAGGCTTGGGGCCCAGACTTCCCAGACAAACAGAATAGGTTTAGTGGTAGCAATCGTGCATGCAGGTATTTTGACACTTTGGGGGAGATTTACTAAAACTGGAACTTTCAGAATCTAGTGCAGCTGTGCATGGTAGCCAATCAGCTTCCAACTTCAGCTTGATCAATTAAGCTTTAACAATAACACCTGGAAGCTTATTGGTTTCTATGCAGAGCTGCACCAGATTTTGCATGTCTAGTTTTAGTAAATCCCTTCTATTAACAATATTGAAAACCGTAAAGACTGCACACATTGTCTACGGGTCATTCCTAATTTGCAACATCCTGGACAACCAAAACAGGAACATAGGGGGTTAATTTACTAAAACCAGAGAGTGAAAAATCTGGTGCAGCTCTGCATAGGAATCAATCAGCTTCCAGGTTTTATTGTCAAAGCTTAATTGAACAAGCTGAAGTTAGAAATAAATAATCCAAATCAATGTGTATTATTTAGTCTGTGTGAAAGCTATAGAGTCTGCAAACTATGGTATATATATGGTATATATATTTTTATTTGAAAACTGATCAGTCCTGATTTAATCACTGCCCTAAAATGCCTGGACAGTACAAATATCCTCTAAATGGAAAGTAGACAGTCTAATGCATTTAGTAAGAGGCATGGCGAGTTGTAATTTTTGTCACAGTTTAATTAAGAAATTAAGTAAAATTAGTTTTTTTTCATATTTTAGTATACTGTTTTTTTCATATTTAACATAATGTTACCAGTGCAGTGCAGCCATTATATGACTGTTGTGGTGGTGGTCAGGAATACTGACTGGTGACAGTATGTAAAAAAAAAAAAATAATAATAATATAAATAATAAATATTTTAATAATATTTTTTGCTACTACTTTTATTTATGCAGCCAGTCAAGCAAGAGACCTCTTATCAAAGATGCTTGTTATAGATCCAGCTAAGAGGATATCGGTTGATGAGGCACTACAGCACCCGTACATAAATGTATGGTATGACCCTGCGGAGGTGGAGGCGGTAAGACATTTTATTCTTCTATGTTGCTGACGCATGACAGAAAGACATATGTGATGAAAACTGTAGACATGTTTTAGTTTGATAGGCTGCCTGCGAAAGAGTGGGAACATTTGCCAAGTTTTTATTATCTGCTATCTCATTGAAAAAAATCCCTTCACTTCCTGACATGACAGGAATTGAGAGAAAATCTCCCCAAAGTTAGGTGAAAGTGCACTTTTGACCATTGCCTCTATAATAAGCATTGCCATTAGTAGATTTTCTCCTTCCTCTTGTTTTGGTGTTAGCAACAGGATTTCCATTCTGGTGTCATTTGTCACTGGGATAGGAATTAAAGATGAATCTCTCAAACATGGCCACAGACAAGACATACAGTAGGTATCAACACTTACCCAAAACTGGGCTACATTTAAAGGGCAGCTATACTTTTATATAAAAAAAAAAATTGACACCAAAAGACAGAACAGTAAAATTATAAATAGCATTTACAGTGGCAAGAAAAAGAATGTAAAGTCCTTGTAATTAGCTGGCTTTTTGCAGTAATTTGCCATAAAATGTGATCTGATCCTCATCTAATGTAAGTCACAACAATAGACAAACACAATACTCTGAAGCTGAAAAGTCTGTGGGTTCACAGTAAGTAGCCTATGCCCCCGGTCACATCAAAGCTGATTTTGAAATCGTGCGACTTACAGTGAAGTTGCACGATTTCAAAATCGGGTGACCTGCCGATTTCAGTTGTGATTTGCAAGGCATCTGACACGGATGTCTATGCAAATCGCAACAGCATGCACTACTTTAGAAATTGGTGTGGCTCTGACCAAGTCGGAACCGCACTGATATGACCGCTCTAATAGCGGACAATAGGGTGTGACTTGGCATACGATTTGCAAGTCGCATTGCATGTAAATCGCATGCCAAATTACACCCGATGTGACCGGGGTGTTATAGTATAGACTAATAACTTCAGTTACACTAATTGGAATTAATAGTTTGCACACCTGGTGTCCAATTAATGGAATGAGTTTGGAGGTGCGGTTTAGAGCTACTTTGATAAAAGGCATAATACAATTTTAAGATTTTGTTCATAAGAAGCATCAGCTGATCTGCATGATGCTGGAAATGTATATAAAGCAATCTCAAAGTGTTTAGGCTTCCATCAGTCGATAGACAAATTGTCTATAAACGGAGACACTTTTGTACTGTGGTTACTCTTCTTAGAAGTGGCCATCCATCCAAGATGACTCCCAAGGCACAGCACAGAGTCTTCAGTGAGGTAAAGAAGAACCTATGAGTAACAGCTAAAGGCTTGAAGACATCACTGAAACTGGTAAACACCCCTGTTCATAAGTCTACCATGCATAAGTCTTTGTACAGGCAGGGTGTCCATAGTAGAACACCACAGGAGAAGCCGTTGCTTTGCAAAAAAAACATTGATGCACACCTGAAGTTTGCCAAAGAGCACCTTGGCAATCCACGGTGCTGACAGGAAAATATTTTGTAGACTGATGAAATAAAAGTTTATGTTTGGAAAGAATACTTGGTGCTAAAAAAACACAGCTTACCAACATCAAAAAACATTATTGCAATGGTGAAGTATGGACTACTTGCCATCATCGAGAGGAAAAATAATTCCTAGGTTTACCAAAATATCCTACAGGATAATGCCAGGGTAGATGTCTATTGTTGTGACTCAGATGAGAAGCAGATCACATTTTATGGCAAATTACTGCAGAAAACCAGTAAAAGTTATAGTAAAGTCTTGGTATTTGAAATTTGCTCCAGGCAGGGTTTTATATAACAGAGACCATAGCGGTCATAAATCCCCCCCCCACCTGTCAACGAGTAATACGATCTGACCTACACATGTGCAGCTCAGATCACATTTACAGCTCATTCTCTGTGCTGCGGCGATGTGACTCCCGTGTGCAAGATCGGGAGTGACTCCGCCACAGCTTGGCCATTCAAGGTGCCAAAGATCTGAAACCCATAAAGGACACCATGGAAGATGGAAGCTCTGGGGGATCCATGACAGCGTTGCACTGGAGAGCTCCGTTTGCAGGTAAGTCTGTCATAATGTTTTAGTATGAGATGCATACTAGTACATTATGACTTAAACCTGACAGGGGACCAGCTTTTTTTGTTTTTAATAAACGACTTTACTACCGTTTTTAATGCCAAGGGGTTCACGTGCTTTTTCTTGCCACTGTATTCTTCTGTATTTTGTTATTATCATTAGACAGATTGTTGAATATTTATTGAATATCCCAGTTGTTTTTAATTTTTGGGACTGATTTATTAAAGCTAAGGTCATTTTGACCCCCCCTAATCTGATTGGACAACCATAGGAGGGGATGAAAGATCAGCTTATAGTAAATAAACTAATATGAGTTTATGGAGAGGAAACCTCTGAGAAGGTAGCTCTTGCTGTTAATTGACAGTAAGAACACATGCTGAGAGTCAGTCCAGCACAAGTCTATTTTCATAGTTTCACCCCCATTAGTACAACCCACCTGGTCCAGCACTTGCCACTAACCCCATTCCAGTGCTTTTCACTGTGTTTGCCAGTCAAATAACAAAAGGCACTTATTTTTTCTATCGGAGAGGATAAAGCTTCCTTTCAGATGCTCTCCATGGTGCTGAGAGAAATAAAATATAGACTTTATTGTCGCAACCTATGATCTTCTATACAAAGCTGACTTGCTTTTAAACATCACCAGCATTCCTTGTACCTAAAATTATAGCACTTCAGAGGTTTTACCATTGTTCTGTGTAAATAGAGATAAGTAATACTAACCAGAAAGAATTGCAGAGAAATGTAAAGCTTATTGTGAGCCTCATACTGAGGCATCCATCATTTGTTTCACACAGCTACAAAGATTTAGAGATGACACATCAACCACCTTACAGGTACAATTTATTTTTTTCATGGTCATATCATATACAGAAATGCAGTGTAAAAAAAAGTTGTACAAAATACATATTTTTCCTTGTATTATACCATTGCTTTAAGTTACTTTCCAATGAGACGTATAGAAATAAAGACTTGACCTAAGTTTTGCAATGTAAATAAGCTAGGTTTCCTTACAGATGATGCATGCATATTTACAGATTTTTATCATTTAAAATATGCTGTCCCTTCAGGTATTTAGTAAAATGAAAATTACTTAATGATAAAAATGTAGCAAAAAGAGGCATTTATAAAAACATATCCTAAAATGCCTTTTTAGTGAAGAATTTCAACCCCATAATACAATTTTATATTGTCTCCAAGTATTGTGACTACTTGCAATAGTCACTTAAGTTCCAGCCCCTAGCCTCCCCCACCAAAAAAAATTAAAAGTCATCAGCTACAAATACTGTCACTGCTAACTTTTAATATTAGGGTACTTACCTGTCTAGGGATCCAGCAGTGTCCTCACCCCTAGCCAATTCTTCAGTTGGCTAACGGGTGCTGGCGCCGCCATCTTGACTAAGGGAAACAGGCAGTAAAGCCTTGCGGCTTCACAGCCGTTTCCCTACTGCACATGTGTGAAGAGTGCTGTGTTTTGTGAATGGGCTGCTAGTCAATGAGCTGGACATTCGCCCCACCCCACAGCCCTCTGGGACACTTCTCATGTGGGGGGGGTGAACTTCCGGCTCAGTTTGCCTCGGCGAACTAAGCCGGAAGTGGGGGCGGTTACCTGTCAAACCAGGCTCCCGCTCCCCCCCAAAAGGTGCCAAATGTGGCAGCGGAGGGGGGGAGGAGGCAGATAAGTGGAGCTTCCACTTTTGGGTGGAACTCCGCTTAGCAAGTACTCATGTATCTATTTATCCATTACTAGTCTTTTCTCAGACAGACTGCCTAGACTACTTTTTATTAAAACGTCTAACATCATTATTACCAGGAGCTTGTTATGTATTGCTTTATTATTACTTTTCCTAAAAGCTATATGTTGGCTTTGTTGTTGTCTTCTTTCTAAGGCCTCTTGCACACAGGAGTAAAAATGCTGAGATTTTTACTGATCTGAAATGTCTATGGGACATTACACACAGCTGAGTAAAGATCAGTAATACAGTGTTGAGTACAGAGCAGTAAAACAAAAATAGAATTTTTTTTTCATTCAAGTGCAGTAATTTACTCGCATAATCATTTACTCGTCTATAAGCATGTTTATGGAAGTATAAATGAGTATATTACAATACCGGCAATGAAGACGAATCGTACTCGTCTATACGCTTACACACCTTTACTCACCTATACTCAACATTACTCAAGCTTAACACACAGTTTCTGGCCCCTTGCACACGGGAGTCACAAGTCCTCGAGTAAACATCAGTAAATTATGACACCCGTGTGCAAGGGGCCTAAAAATGCTAGGTGCAGTAAAATCAGAAGTCCTCATTTATATACTTTTTTTGGGGTTAGTGACTCAGCATTATAGCCAGCCAACCAGCATTCACAAAATGGAAAAACAACATCAGCAATGGTAGCCTTTATGTTTCCCTTGGGAAAGTTTTCTTTAAAGCAGTACTAAACCCAAAAACAAAATGTGGTGAAAATAATGGGGAAAAAAGTAAATCATTCTAACAATTAATGCAGTCACCACATCTAAGGGTTGGTAAACTGCAATATATAACATTTTTGTTTTTGGGTTTATTACTGCTTGAAGTTTTAATCAGAGACTGTGGATGAAAAAAAGTTTTAGGGCCAGACTGTAGAGTGCGTTAAACAAAATGTAGGGTTGAATGTGTTCAACATATGTAGTTTAATATATTTTCATGATGAGAGAAATATAAAGTATTCACTGTTTTCATATGCAGTAAAGTTACATGAAATAGAATGGTTTTATATAAAAGATAAGTCATATGCTAAGACTGGCTATAATGTTGGTTTAGAGTCATGCTATAGTTAGTATAGGCAAAATGGGGTGGGCAAGGTACAAATTAAGTGTAATTAATGAGTTGTACTTTAAATCATCAGTAGACATGTGCAGAACGAAAAAATTTGTTTCGTTTCATATTGATGCGTTAAGTTACTCATTTAGTTTCAT